TCTCTAGAGATCTAGAGTTGAAGGCCATGGCATTGTGTTGATAAGTCTGGGTATCAACTCATGGGTCTGATGGGTCGGAGCTCCTCTGCTAAAGCCCTTGCCCGTATAAGTGGTGCATCGTCAAGCCAAGTCTATGTAGACCAGAAGAGGGGTCTACCATTCTAGAAGCTTGAAATTGCTCCTTTCGTTACCTCAGCCAAATGTTCAACAGCTGCAAAAGGCACTTGACAGTGCAGAGTTTTTGAGTTGAGTAGGAAAAAAAATGACTAGAGATGTCATAGGGTCCAGTCTCATCCGCAAAAGTCAGTTCTCTAGAATTATGATAATTTTTCATGGATTTTTGATGTTAGTGGTTGACTTACCATGCATAATACTGAACACATATAGGATTTTCTACAAATTATCCATCTATATTTCTTATGAATATCTACTGATTTGATTCTTAAACAACTTGACTTCAGGAGGCTATTACTAAACTAGCTGCTCATTCTCTATCTTCTTGCCCCTATAAACTTTGTAACTTTCCTCTTCCTTAGCACTCCCTCCAAAACGAAGCACTTAGGAAACAAAATTCAGCAGAGTATTTAGCTAATCGGTTTAAAGGTTTATGTCTTACCTTTGTGGATATCCCTCATGGTGGCTAGCTGGTGGCTAGCAAGACACTTTGTCCACATTTGATATGTGATATATATTTATGCATTGGCTGATAGAGCTAGTTCCAGCTCAGCGGAGATGTGCTTGCTTCTTTTCCCCTCCCCATCTCCTATCAACTGTCAAGAACGGGCATTTGAGTATTTGAAGTCTACAAGCAAAAGAGCCCGCAAAGTCAACTGGACAGTTAGGATGACAACAGCAGTTTTCGTTGCATCGATAGCTGGAAAAGCAGACAGGCTCTCTTATCTTTCCATGTGGAGCTATGACGTTGTTCTGGATTGTTTCTTTCAGCTGATTTCCTGCACAGAATGAGAGACTACATGCCTCCTTCCCATAAGGCCTTCATAGAAGAAATCCACTCGGCTCCTTCATTGAGGGACCACGTCCTGTCCTCTGGAAATGACCAACTTCTGACAGCCTATAACCAGTGTACGGAGGCCCTGGCAGAGCTGCGCAGCTATCACCTCACCATAGTGGCCAAATACCTCATCACGGCTGCAGCCAAAGCAAAGGACAAGAGACCCAGCCATCCCCCAGGACCACCCCAGGCCTTAGAACAGAGGGGCACAGGTGGAACTTCAGTGCTGAGGTTCCTGAAGAGTGTCAGGGATAAAACTTTAGAGGCAATCCTGCACCAGCATGGTTAAGAGACTGCCCTTCCCACGCAATGCAAAACCAGCAAACTCGTTTCCCTCGTCCCCTCCCCCTCTTGGTGGCCAGGTGGGCCTATAAAATCAAAGTCGAGTTTTGTCTAGAATAATCCGAAAGAGACCTCAGCCCTATTCACATTCCTGCTCTATAGAACTCTGTCTTCTCCTTTGTTGAGAGCTGTTAGTCTTCACAGAGGAGAATGTTCATGGCCAGAAATTTCCGTTCCTTATCTGATTGTTGGTTAATAGCAAACAGCTTTGGGCACTCTCTCATTCGGAACCCCACAGAGGAGCTAGTGTACCCCTGTTGTCTTTGCAAAGTGATAGGAAAACACTCTAAATTTCAGAAACCAAATAAAATTGCCTGTGAACAGATCACCTTGTTGATTTCTTGAAAAAACAAATTAAATATTCATGCATTCATTCATTCACTTAACAACTTATTGAGTTCCTACTGAGTACTGGTGTAAGGATTAGAACAGGGGTTTTTGTGGCTCTGGCCCAGCCCTCTTCTCCCTGCATGTGTTGAATTTGGTGGCAGGAGGTTGGAAATGCTCCAGTGGAGATGTGGAGGAAAGGAGAGGCTGACAATAAGACTTGGAAATCACCAGTATGAAAATGAATAGTTAACGATATGGGAGCAGATGAGACTTTTCCACATGGTTTATACATTTGTAAATTCTATTTTAGTTTCCTTCTTTATTTTTAGAAGAATGATTCTTTCTCCTTACATTGAAAGTCTGTGTTTGTAAAATGAATTAATTAACCCTTTGGAAGTAAATGAAAAAAATGGGCATAAATCGTAAATCCACATGTTTAGTGTACAAATAAGTGTAAATTTTTATTGACTTAGTTTCTTTCTCAAGGTCTCATTCGTCATGACACTAGGAAGCTAGAAAACTTTAATCTTGCCAATTTAGGATAAGCTCCATTGATTTAGGATTGCCCCCCACTATGCACACACACACATTTGCCTGGGTAGTATCTAAATTCCAGAAGGCTGATCTAGTATCACGGCCTCAAGGAGAGGTACCTGATCATGGGGCAAGTTAGCTTCTGCTGAGCAGTCCTGTCCCCAGGTGGGTACTGAGCAAATGGAGCCTGTGGCATGTCTCATCCTGTCTAAGAGGGCTTTCAGATTGCTCCATCCCCAAGGTCCTATCATGCCTCTTGGAAAAACATTGACTACTTCCCACATCCTCCAGGAGCTCTGGGAGCCTACGAGACAGGCTCAGAGCAGCTGCCCGGCCCCACAGCAACTATCTCCACTCTCCAATGCCATGGGGGGAGGGGATTACTGGAGTCTTGTCCACTCTCAGGGCCTTTGATAAGTAGTCATGAACCAGTATATTCCATTTGGGGTACCAGGAGGGCTCCTATTGCCCCATATCCTCCAAGGGCTTGGGCTGGCAAAGAAAAGAAGGAAGGTGGGGCATGACAGGGCTGAGAGCTTCTAGTCTGGGTGGGCCAAGGGAAAACCCTGGTGTCACGGTGTCCCCTCTGCCTACTCTTTAGGTCACAGTCTCAAAGCTCGAAAGACTGAAGCTCTCATAATTCAAAAAGCCTTTTCTCTCCCCATGCTGTCCTTGTCTTGTGCTTGAAAAGTCTATTATGAAACTCAGAAAATGAGCATGGATTTTTTTTTTTTCTCTTTGATTTTCTTTTCTAACTGTCCTGTCTTGGTATCAGTAAACCCAGACTGTCTTACCTACTGGGCTGGGTGTATGCCACAGTGCACGGAAGTGGACTAGGTGACAGAACAGGACACAAGCACATTGGTCAATGATTCAAAACCCTTCTCAAGATCATTCTCAGGTAGAAAGAATGTGACCTTCAAAATATGTTTGAATTCTGTGTTTGAATTCTGACTTCTCCATTTTTTTAACAGTGCAGTTTTGATCAATTTCAGAAAAATCACTAATCCTCAGCTTCCTATTTCTTATAAAATCAAGATAATCAGATTGGTAAATCACTAATCCTCAGCTTCCTATTTCTCATAAAATCAAGATAATCAGATTGGTCTGAGGGTGGGTATAAGTTACCAAAGGGATAGTGCTTGGACTGGAGGAAGAAAACCATAAAAGTGTATTTGGTTGTGAAGTGGGGCTCAGAACACGGAGTAGATACAGGTTCAAGAGAGAACACTGTTTTCCTCAAGCTTCTTGGATTCACAGAATCTGCATAGCAATAAAATTGCCATTTATTAGTTATCATTTGGGGATACTATAAAGAAGAAACTGACAAAAGTGTGAACTTAAAGAGCTGAAAAACTTGAGTTTGTATTCCACCCTTGTCACATTTTATAATAACAAACTTAATCTTTCAGAGTCACAGTTTACTTTGTAAAAGCAGGAACTTTGTCATTTCTGTGTGGAGCTAATATACAGAGTGAGTAACTAAATGGTAGTTCCTATGCTTTTATTATCATGCATATGGCCTTGAACTCCCCTTGTCTAGTCCCTAAGAACCAGAAGGGAGGTTAAAACTGGCTGGCTACAGCCCTGAACTTGGCAAAGAAAAGAGACGACATGACCTTAAAACAAGCAAGCAGGATGAGACAGAATCTGGATTTTTCTTGAAACAATGTGGGCACTTTGCAGGAGTAATGACAAGGACATTAGAGAACTTAAGAAAGGATGCCAGGCAGTTTAGGTTTTACCTCTAGACCTGCACCAAACGGAGCCCTGATCTGTCCCTCAGAGTGACAGGATTAATGAAAAATCATCTTAATTGGTATACTTTCAACAGATCCAAGTTCACTTAAAGAGACCACAGAGCCTGACTCAGAGCCAGTTTTCAATAAATGTTGAATAAATGGAAAACCAGAGAGGCTAAACAGGGTGGGAAAGGAAGTTTACAAAGTTTTGTCTTCCAAAGCTGTCAGAATGTTTTGCTGTCATTACACAAGGATAAATTAAATGCAAACAAAAGCATTTCCTTTGCCAATGAACCAACTGCTAATTCACGTGCCAAGGTTTGATTTCTTGGGCCAGAGAGTTTCAATTTTCAGCTTTATGATATAGTGGTGAAAGGAAGCTTCTGGTACAGAAGAGAACACATTTCTTTCAAGATTCGTAGGTGAAAAAAAATGACTATCAGTGAAAAAATTGACTACTGGTAGAAATAATTTGATGATGATGATGATGATGATGATGTTACTGCAAGCTTGAAGAAATGACAAAAGTGTAGGCTTGGAAACTGGACACAGATTTGAATCCTCACTGTGCTGTTTACTGACAATATAAGCTGTTCACCTCCCTTAATACTTCTGAGTCTTAGTGATCATGCATGTAAATAGCTACCTTGCGGGGCTTTTGTGAAAAGTAAAGCCAATTTATATTTGTTAGATAGCAGGCCCTGAGTGAATGGTATTACACAACGGTGTTGTCTGTTCCCTGACTACCCTCTTGATCTGGGTAAGAAAACAAGCATGGGGAAAAGAAACAGTGAGAAGAATGGGCAGCTTGCACTCCCCGATTCTGTAAGTTCCGAGGAGAACGGAGAGGAGGCCCAAGGGACGTGTAATCAAGACGGGCTGCAGAAACCATCCTCTGGGAGCTATGTGCACACGTGTGGGTCCCGTGTGTATGTATATGGGCGTCAGAAGCAGAACTGTGACTGAGAACAGACAGGCCGCCGAATCAGCCCAGAGTCAGACCCCAGGAGAGGCACACCACGCTGTGCCATTGTAAGTTTTGTTTCGTATTGATGAGGACCAAGAAGGATGTTGACACGGGATCATATTTTAAATTCATCCAGATATAATCAAAACCATTTGTAGCATCTAACACATAGCAGTTTCTCAGTAATTGTAGAATAAATCAACATCCAGATTGAGTGGAATAGAGGGGAGAGCTACAAATTCTTGCCTTCAAATAATGTTTTCCTTCAGGTTACTCAGCTTTATTGCCAGGGACTAAGTGGAGGGGGAGGAAAATGGATGTTTTCTTCTCATCTGAGGGAGCTTGCATCTTCAATTATTGTAGAGGGTGAGTCCTACAAAGAGATTCAGTACATAGCACTTACGTGTTCAATTTGAAGTTTCACCAAATTTGTGCTCACCTGTAGATTCCTCCCTCAATACCTTATAATTATTTGAAGTTCCTTAATGAGAGCCTTGAATTAGCTAGGGTTCTCCAGAGAAACAGAACACTCTCTATACACACACACATAGTCAAATGTCACGTAACAATGGGGATACGTTCTGAGAAATGAGTCGTTAGGTGATTTCGTCATGTGCAAACATCATAGAGTGTATGTAAACAAACCTAGATGGCATATCTCCTACGGCACCTAGGCTATAGGGTACTAATCGTATGGGGCCACTGTCGTATGTGTGGTCTGTCGTTGACTGAAATGTCATTGTGCGGCGCATGCTTTCTGGTATAGTGGTGAAAGTAAAGCTTCCAGTACAGAAAAGAACACATTTTTCTCAAGATTTCTAGGGATAAAAAATATCCACATCAGTGAAAAAATGACTGTCTAATGGTAGAAATAATTTTTATTTTTATTATTATGTGCAGATACTACTGCAAGCTTGAAGAAATGGCAAAAGTGTAGGCTTAGGAACTCTATATATGTCTCTATATATTCAGCTGGAGACCTAGAGTAGAGCCAATGCTATGGTTCAAGTCTAACAGCCGACTCTGGCAGAACTGATCCTTTCTCAGGGGAAGTCAGTCTTTCTTCTACTCAGGCCTTCAACTGACTGGATAAGACCCGCCCACATTATAGAGAGCAATTGGCTTTACTCAAAGTCCACCAATTTAAACGTTAATCTCATCCAAAAAACAGCCTCACCGAAACATCCAGAATAATGTTTGACCAAATATTAGGGCATCATGGCCCAGCCAAGGTGACATGTAAAATTAGCCATCACAAGTCTCCTTGAGAAGAATTTGAATTAGGACAGTTATGGTGTCTGAAATACACTCTCCCCACACTCCCTATTACAGATGAAGAACCTTCCTTTGAAATGATGGAGAGGAGATCAAACTTAGTGCGGAGTACCACTATCACCTAAGAGATGCCAGGAAGGGATGAGCAGTGGACTGGACAGAAGCCACTAGGGAGAAGCAAGGAACACCACTCAGAAAAGACATTCTTAGTTGACAACTAAAGCTCCTGATGCTGGGTGATCCACGTGGAATGACACACTGTCTCTCTCAATACAAGTTCAAACCCACTGCCGGAGGTTGAGAGTGTAGGGGAAGTCTTCACCTGGGAAGGGGGAACAAGACCTTGAAGTCCTAAACCTGTGCCTTCCAGATTTGACCTTCAAGGACTGACCTTCTCCTTGGCTGCCCCCACCACCTACCACTGCTGGTGGCAAAGGAGTGCTGATTCCTTTTCATCTGGAAAAGCCCACGTCCAGCTGGGATTAGTTGGCATTTTTAGGAGACTTCAGTAAAGACTCAGGAATGATTCTAAAAGCAAACAACAAAAAGAAAGGAAATGCCAGTGAGTTGCACAGCTAACACGCCATACATCACACACATCACATATATCACAGAGTGATGCCCGCTCTGTGGGGCTCGCAGGCCCTGGGGCTGCCTGCAGGGGGCTGGGATCCCTCCACCTGGGATGCAAAGCTCTCTGGACTTACAGGGTCCGGTCAGGACAGGGACGCTCAGAGACTGAACTCACTTTCCCTTGCTGTTAGTCCTAAATTCATCTTTTGTTGTCTCCAAACCAGAGTTAAAATCAAAATAAAACTAAGCAACAACTACAACAAAGAAATGCTTAAAACCTGTGAGATCTTATCCAATTTAAGATCTGGGATATGAAACTTTCAGTACGACAAGCCAATTATTCCTTCCACAACAATGAATCTCACCCACCGAATTTTGTCCTGCGTTTTCTTGTGCACAGATGTCCTATCTGCTTTGCTAATGGAAGAAACGCTCTTCTCTTTCTGTGTTCACTTAACAGTAAACTTGATAAAGAAGTCGGATATCATTGCTTTCTGAAATGCAGTCGCTAGTTAATTTCTGCAGTTTAGCATCTGCTTCACAGTAACGTTAAAAAACTGAGTTCCTGAATGTAAGCATCATCAAAAATAAATGATTTTTTTTTGGCAAAGTAATTTCCTTTGTAAACTCATAAATCTATCGGCCCACACGGTTCTGTGGCTGTATAGATTTCAAACCAAAATCTATTGTGAATTTGCCTTTAATTATCCATAAACAGTTTTTTTCCTCCCTAAAGGGATCATTCAGTGATTTGACCTGCACTGTATGTTGGGAACCATTTGGAGTAAGGCCTTAGACCCCACTCTGGCCCTTCACAGGCCATATCCTTCCTCACAAGGTGAGGAGTACTAGGGGCGTGGGGCTTGCCTTTAGAGTGACCAGCTGTTTAGAGAAACAATCAGGGACACAGCTATCCTAGACAAAATAACAACAACAGCAATAATAAGAGTAATAATGCATGTGTTATTAATTTATCATTAAAATATGAAAAATAAGCATCTAGAATTGAAATTATATTATTATATTCAGCATTACTTACTTTTTTGTTACATAAATGCTAGTATTTAAACAAAACGATTGGCTAGTTAACAATGGCAATTAGTAATTAGCAGCAGGACCAATTAAACAACTACTAATACGTAATTGTTCTCATTTTAATTGTCTAAACTTTTCAAGGGAGTTCAGGAAACATGGTCATGATGATCACAATGTGAAAAATCAAACTCAATCAGACATACTATCTCAATAAAAAGCACAGCGTTAGTCCACAAGCAAGTCACAGACAGACTGTTCACGCTTAGGATTGGAATGTGCTGAAACTGCAGCCTTTACTCAGATTCCCCAGAGCAGCTCGGGCTCTGTGAACCACACCACTGTGAACCACAGACCACAGCTTCAACGTCAGCTGTCAGGGGAAAAACCGGCGACAATGACTATGGAAGATGGATAATCCACACCATATCTATGTGATGCAAAAAACTGTCACTTGCAGCTGCTATTTGGGAACTGTCATGTGAATTTTGTACTTTTCCTTTAATCTTTTGATGCAAGATCAGAAAGTGGAACTTTTCACATCGTGATCAAAGGTTTCCCAGGACATGGAATTTTCAGTGCCAAAAGCAGGACAGATCTAGGCAAACCTGTCTGGTCACCCTAATTGCCCTCCAGGCGCCCCTACCACCTCCACCACCACTGTTTTCTAGATCTTGTTCTGGGTACCTAGATCCCCAGAATTCCTTGCGCAAACGGTCTCAAGATTGCTTCTGGAACCTGCGCAGCCCTCTCTCCTGGGCTTGCTCCTGACTGTGCCATTGGTGTCCACATGCCCACACTGAGTGTGGCGGGCTCTCTGCGCACACGGGGCCGGAGTGTAGCTGGGGGCCGGGTGTCCACGGGCCTGGCGGAGCAGTCCCTGAAAGGACGCGCAGAGCGGCGCTGCGAGGAGGGAGGCGAGACCTGAGACCGACTGTCTCGTGTCTGATGTGGAATTCTGAGTCAGAGCATCTTAACTTGAGTATGGGCTTCCAGGTCATTCTGAAATTATCTTTTTCTAGGTAGGATGATGGAACATCTTTTATTTAATAATTTACTAGCTTGATTTATAACTTTTAACTATGTGTAGGAATGGTATGTGGATGTCCATTTGCACTTTTTACCCCGGGCCCGGCAAACATCAGAGAGGGGGATTGTCTGTCTGTCTGCGGCTTGAGAAGTTTAAACTTTGCTTGTAAGTGTGGGCCGTTACCACCAGAGGGCAATAGCGACCTGCAACACTCAGCACCAAGCTCCGAGCAAGGAATGGATTCCCGCCTGATGTGGCAAGCCTGTTGGTTCTGAAGTCTCTCTTTCTCCGAAGTAGGACAGGGGGAATCTCGAGATGTTGGCACCCAGGGCCTTGCCAAAAGCAAATCCTATTTTATTTGTAAATTTTACTAAGGATATTCCGGCTGGTCGAATTGTAGATAATTTGTATTCCTCTTTTTATATTATTCTTTATTAAAATTAAAAACGAAGTTTATTTTTCTTAAGCTGGAGAGGAATTCTTCATCCTCCTTCCGTGACCTGTGTTATCTGAGAATCTTTACTGTCAGGGAGGCTTAAGTGCTGCCAAACTGTGAAAAGGGGATGAGTAACATGTGTAAGCATTGAAAAGAAGGATCACATAAATAGCACAAAGAGGAGAAGCCAAATCACTGCCTTGGGCTTAGAAAGAGATTACTTGGGATTTTATCTACAAGAAAAGACAAATATCATCACTGACTAAGTATTTCTGTCCTCATTGCCTGCCTCATCCCCCCCACACACATCCTTACTCTATGGCACGTGGCCGTGAGTGACATGTGTGCAATACCTACCATCGTAAGAGCTCAGTGACGTAGTCTGCAAGGGAAAATAGTTTACCTACAAATATCCTATTACGGTAATCACTGAAATTCTATTCAAACTCTGGAGGGGAGCGCATGGATGGGCTGAGATGCTAGATGGACTAGGCAATGTGATATCTAGCTAATCTAACCAAGTCCAACCTTCTTTTAAAAAGCATAAAAGAAAACAACCTTAAGAGTCCTTATTTATCATCTCCCTTGTCTGTTCATTTCCAAGGTTTAATAAAGATACTGAAAAGAGAATTAAAAATTTTAGTATGAAACTAATGAAAACAACAAATCCAAACTATATACTACTAATCCCCCTTAGCCACATAGTAAACATAAATTTGGGATTAGTGATCTCAGTACAGAGTACGAAGCCCACACAGCTTCTACTCACATCATCCCTCCTTTCTAGGCCTCTTGCCTGGGTAAGCATCCAGTTCCTCCGTTCGATACATTTGTAACATCTCTGTGTGTCCATTTTCAGGTAATAACGATACTTGCATTATAGGATATGATGATTATATGAGTTAATATTTTAAGGCATTTAGACCAGTGTCTGGGTAGAACAAACACTATGTATCTATTTGCTGCTATTTTTATCACTATTATTAATTTCCAGGGACTGTTAGACACCCTGTTGAACAGTGTGGAAGGGAAGATTGCTTTCTTAAATCCAAGGCATAGAGTCATGGAAGAGTTCCACTCATTTCTGCTCTCTCAGGCTTCACCTGGAAGAGGAAATTTATGATTTTATTTGTAAATTTTACTAAGGATATTCCGGCTGGTCGAATTGTAGATAATATGTATTCCTCTTTTTATATTATTCTTTATTAAAATTAAAAACGAAGTTTATTTTTCTTAAGCTGGAGAGGAATTCTTCATCCTCCTTCCGTGACCTGTGTTATCTGAGAATCTTTACTGTCAGGGAGGCTTAAGTGCTGCCAAACTGTGAAAAGAACCACAGAGGAAGACCTTTGGAAAAACTGAGAAATTTCTGTGGTATTGCTTTCTCATCTTTTTAGGGAAATATTTTCTGACACTATCTGATTGCTGTCATGTTTACTATACAAGATCTTCTCCAATTCCACTCCTAAATTCTAAATGATATAAAATATCTAGTTTTTAAATCAAAACAAAAACATGTCAGTGTTGTTAGACTTTACAACAATACTCTTTGAGAGAAGTGAAAATACTATAGAATTTGAGAAAACTGGAACTAAGGATTTACAGAGCTAAAGACTGTGAAGAATATTGGCAAGGGAAAGCTAATTTTCTGGAAGAAGGAATGTGCTATCCTACTGCCTGGCTGGAAAATTTAGCTTCCACACTTTTAACCTCCCTTCTGTGCTGCCAACTCCCCAACTTGGTGACACCTCTTCTATCAGGACAATGTTGTATTTTATATAATCAAAAACAAAAACATCCCAAGGATAGAAGTTTCTTTCTCATATTTTAAAATATACAGGCATGGAATGGTGGCTCCACAGTCATTAACGACTCAAGTTGCTCTTTGTCTCTGCGCTAACATCCTCAAAGGATTTCTTCCACCTCATGGTTTAAGATGGTCGCTGGAGCTCCAGCCTTTGTATCTGCCTTCCAGGTCATAGGAAGAAAAAGGCAAAGAAGGGTAATTTTCTCTTTTTTGAAGAGACTTCCAAGAAGTGCCCTATATATCTTTGGCTTTCTATTGACTGTATTTTAGTCTCACAGCCTTCCCAGTTACAACGGATATGGGCAAATGTAGTCCTTTAACAGAACAGTCACACACCCAACAAAAAATAGGTTCTTTAAAAAAAAATAAGAATAGGATGAACGCATATAGAGTAGGCAACAAAACCCATTTATGTTATACCTTGCTTAAATAGTCCAATTTTCTCCATTCCCTGCATGTTTCTCAAAACGTTCCCTTAAAAAGGAATCTAAAACTCGCTCCATTGTAGAAGAGATTGATAAAGGATGAAAGTATTAACCCTACCTAAGGGATTTGAATAATAGTAGGATTAAAGCCTTAAGTATAGTTATTAACTATTGCCAGTAAAATTCTGAGAGAGGAGAGGGAGCTGAGGCTGTTTGGTGGGGCAGAGTATGAAATTGCAGTGTGTAGACAGCTCGCTCCTGGTCTTAGGCCAGTCAGCTTGCACTAAAATTTGTAATATTATCTTCAACTTGCAGCCACGCCGATATGAGAAAAGTCCTTCCTGTGTAAAATAGCTGCAATCAGACTGGAAGAAATTCTACCTCTTCTCATAGTCAGGAGTAAATTCTTTAAATTGGTTGCATTCCATAAGTTTACAGGAGACTGTATCTGAAACTTGAAACCTACATCAGAATTGCCTGGAACCTAGTAAAACACAGATTTGAATGACCACTCCCATAGTGTCTTTCTTTCTTTTTTTATTGAAGTATAATTGACATACAATATCCTGTTAGTTTCAGGTGTACATCATAGTCATTTGGTATTTATATAGATTTATATAGATTGCAAAATGATCACCACAATAAGTCAAGTTACCATCCGTCACCATACAAAGTTACATATTTTTCTTGTGATGAGAATTTTTAAGATCTAGTTTCTTAGCGACTTTCAAATATACAATATTATTGACTCTAGTCACCATGCTATACATTACATTCCCATGACTTATTTATTTTATAAGTAGAAATTTGTACCTCTTTTTTTATTTGGTGAGGAAGATTGTCTCTGAGCTAACATCTGTGCTGGTCCTTGTCTATTTTGTATGTGGGACACTGCCACAGCATGGCTTGATGAGCAGTGCTAGGTCTGCACCTAGGATCTGAACCTGCAAACCCCAGGCCACTGAAGCAGAGCGCATGATTTAACCACTACACCACTGGGCCATCCCCAGGAAGTTTGTACCTCTTAATCACCTTTACCTATTTTGCCTGCTCCCCTCTTTGGTAAACACCAGTTTGTTTCCTATATCTGTGAGTTTCTTTCTGTTTAGTTTTGTTTGTCCATTTGTTTTGTTTTTTAGATTCCACATATAAGTGGAATCATATGGCATTTGTCTTTCTCTGTCTGACTTATTTCACTTAGCACAGTACCCTCTAGGTCCATCCACATTGTCACAACTGGCAAGATTCCATTCTTTTTTGTGGCTAAAATTCCTTTGTGTATACATACATCACACTTTCTTTATCCGTTCATCTATCAGTGGACTCTTAGGTTGTTTCCATATCTTGGCTATTGTAAATAATGCTGCAGTGGACATAGGGGTGCATATGTCTCTGAATTATTGTTTTAGTTTTCTTCAGATAAATACCCAGAAGTGGAATTGCTGGATCATATGGTAATTCTATTTTTTATTTTTTTGAGGAAACTCCATACTGTTTTCCATAGTGACTGCACCAATTTACATTCCTTCCAACAGTGTATGAGGGTTCCTTTATCTCCGCATCCTCTCCAACATTTGTTATCTGGTGTCTTTTTGGTAATAGCCATTCTGACAGGTGTGAGGTGATATCTCATTGTGGTTTTGATTCGCATTTCTCTAATAATTAGTGATGCTGAGCATCTTTTCTTGTGTCTCTTGGCCATCTGTGTGTCCTCTTTGAAAAAAATGTCTACTCAAGTTCTCTGCCCATTTTTAATAGGATTGTTTTTTTTTTTTTTTGATATTAAGTTCTGTAATTCTTTGCATATTCTGGATATTAACCCCTTAGTAGATGTATGATTGGCAAATATCTACTCCCATTCAGTAGGTTGCCTTTTAGTTTCGTTGATGGTTTCCTTTCTAGAGTTTCTGATTCAGCAGATTTTGGGTTCAAACTGAGAATTTGCTTTTCTACCACATTCCCAGGTGATGGCATTACAAGCTAATGTTTGAGAACCACTGGCTTATGGTGTTTTCCTCTTCTCTTTGTTATCAAGGGACTGTGAACCATTACCTATAGCTCACCTCACATTTAATGAAAGAGAGTTTTGCTTTTGAAGGGGGAAACCTTACCTTCTTTATAATGATCTGAATATAAACTGTAACATGCCTAACTTGTGTTGGTGGCCCACGTACCCATCCCTCTCCAATAACATGCAGAAAGGTGTTTCCATGTATAATAAAGGGAAATATTTCTTTTTGATCACTCTCTTGCACCATTAAGTTTCAAGAGAAATAGAAAACAAATTCAAATGTCAGGAAAGAAAACAATACTATTGTTAAATGAAGGACATAGTAAAAACTTCAAGACAGCTTAGGCCAAAAGACACAGGAAGGGAGATGGATGGTTTCCTCCAAGTGGCAAAATCCCAAATCAACTGCTGACCAACTACGATTTTATCAGAGGGAAAACTGTTTCTGGGGCTTGAATTGAAATTGGTTTAGTGTGTTTCTTAACGGTCTTAATGATGCTAAAATTAATGGATAAAATAGAAAGAGCTGGAAAATGTTTAATACAAATCCAAATTCTTCTGAAAATAATTATACATTGGGTAGCTAAAGGATTGTCTTACTCCCCTCTGCCTGCCCATCTTAGGCAGGATGCCTCTCCTCACTGAGACTCAATGCCTTTGATTGTGGAGTGAATGTGCTGGACTAGATGTTCTCTAAGGCCTCTCTCTTTTCTAACATCCAATGATTCTCTAATAAGTGTGCACGAGGCAATCCTGTGCTGGATGCACAGGGAATTAGTTCTATTTGTAATATCAGTTGGGGATTATTCTAAGCTGTGGTTGGTTCACTGTCATTTAGGCAAGACTCCGCTTGTTTGCGTTAAACACAGGCAACGTTTATGATAAATAGAATGATAAATCATAGACAAATTAATCATATTTTAACAATGAAATTTACCAGAGAAACCCATCTTCCCCCTTCCTTGGAACGCCCACCCCACAACTACCAGCCCCACTGAACAAGCCCTCACTATACCAAGCCATCTGCTCCTTGCAGACATATCACGGAACATTTGAGTGACTATTGGTATTTTAAATCATGTTATCTTAACTCCTCATAATTTATGATTGCTAGCTAAGTCAATCTGTTCCATGTAGGGAGAGCCTGGAATTCCCTCAGCACCTTCCCCTTCTGTCTTTTCCTGGCAAGTTCTTGCAAATCCCTAAAGACTCAATTCAGGCATTGCTTCCAGGAGGCCCTTTCTCCACTACTCCCCGCCCCCTACCCTGCCCCACCAGCCTATACCCTGCCTGACACCTTAGACTTGCCTCTATTGCTGGATTTGTCTCATGGAGTAACTATAATTATGTGTTCTATAACTGCTTCCTCCACTCAATTCTGAGTTCCAGGAAGTCACCTCCATGTCCCCTCTGCTTCCATGTCTCCCTGTTCCGTGGTAAATATTCTTTGAATGAAGGAAGAAATGATAAGCTCAGAGGGTGTGTGGATAGAGCCTTTTTGAGGTAGAGCCAGCAATATAAACACGACTTGAGATTCTGGTATAGGGGGAACAAACTGCCTTACCAGGGAACAGGTGTTTACTTATCTCTATAGGATCTGTAGCCTGGGGCAAATTATTTTGTGAGTCCTTCCCTCACACTTTTATGCCAGTAAAATCTCACTCAAATTTACATCATGCAAAGCTTTGCATACAGGACTGGCTTAGACAGAAGCATTCAGGGTGAAAACTAATGATAATAGCATGTGTATAATTTATGAAATGCTTCCACAAATATTATTCCACTTAGTTTTTCCACAGGCTGGTTAGGTGGGTGGTTTTATTATTCCAGTTTGGCTAATAAAGAAAATGCAGCTCAAAGGAGATAGGTGACCTACCCAGGCTCAAGGACACAGTAAGGGAAGGAACTCGAACTCACTCCAGATGTTTTGGCTCCAAATGCAATGGCCTCTGTATTGTTCTTACCTGATGTAGTTGAATGTAGGAGAAGCAATTTCCAAAGCTTGGTGCATGTTGTCTGATGGGAAGAGAGAGGAGTATGCTGTAAGCCAGCCTGCCTCAGTCCCTCCTAAGTGGCTTAACAGTGGACTTGGTCCTTTGGCCTCAGCTTTTAGTAGTTTTACTCCTGTCCCACTGTCTCATTGTTGAGCTTCTGTGCCACGCTGGGAGCAGAAACAGAGACACAGGATCCCAAAGTGCTGGTGCTGCCTGGCGAATCTACATTACCGGATTTGGGAAGAGATTCCCCTGCCGTGAATCACCCTCCGCTCACCGGTGAGTCAGGCCATTTAGCTCTAATCTTTAATTCATACTTCATAAACTGTTCATTTACTTCAGAAGTCTTTAATTTAGGAGTCAGGGGCAACGGCCACAGCAATTGCAAGAAGTCCCTTCACACAGAGAAAAGAGCAGAAAATGAAAGCCGACGTCCCTTTTTGTTCTCAATAGAAATCACCATTAATATAGCATCTTCTGCATCCCCACCCTTGTGGTGACCACCGGGCTTCTTGGTGGTGAGGGAGGGAGTCATACAAAGTGCACTTTCCATCTGCCCTCCAAGCTCTGAGATTAACCCGGAGACAGGGATCACCATAAACCACCCTTTATTGCCTCAGCAGTGGAGGAATTCCACGGGTGTGGCTCTGAAATATCCTCCCCAACTTTCAACAGGGCCTCCCTGGTGGAGAAAGCAGAATAGGACTGGGTTTGGTGCTTCTTTAGTGCAGACTCTGAAACCCTAATGATGTCACAAAGCTATATATCTGGATTGCTCTGCCCAAAGAGGAAAGGAAGGCTTGATTTACTGTTCCAAGCACAGAGGAATAGATCCTAGACTGAAATTCTCAGCAACATTGGCAAAGAACTGCCTGATGTGGATGCTACTCACAGCTAAGAGGCTGGATCATTGTCAGCATGTAAACTCTTATATATAGCATAGTAAAATAATTAAGTGGTTTCAGAAAGGGATGCAAACAGTAGAAACTAGATTTTATGCTTCCAAACTAAAGACATAGCTCAGATGCCCAATCTTCAGAGCACTTACTTCAGGACCATCAAATGATCATTTTTGGAGCACCTTTTACATGCCAGGTACTGGATAAGCTATATGTGTGTATATATCTATACTCTATATTCTGTACATATAGAATAGTCTCAAGACATGTCCTCAAAGAATTCTTAGTCTATCCGGAGAGTCAGACAGTGAGGTTCACACTGCTAGTGTTATAAGGTAACTTTCAAAACACCAGGACTAACTCTGTGCCTTGTCTGATACCTGGAGAACACAAGCCTTGGCCATGAAATGATGCATTAACATTTGGTGCTGCTACCAGGTAAAAAGCTTCAACACATCTGTCTCTCTGTGAGTGTTAAGTATTTTCACGGCGCTTCTCTGTGAGCTATATTGCTGGCCTCTTCCTCTGGTTTTAAGAGTGACTAAGACTTTCAGTTTCTTTACTCACAGTGCTGAGGAGGATACACAGGCTGGCCCATACAATCTGTTTTTCATTTCTTCCTGAGATAAAAGACTTCTGACTCTACATAAGCAAACCCTAGGGGTAAACGTTATGTCCAGAGACAGCCCAGTGTGGTCATAGGGGAATTCAGACGTTCTGTTTTTCCTCCTTTGACCTTCCTAATGTGGGATCTCTATGTCAAAATCGTTCCATGTGTGGCCTCTTCCCACACACATCTTTTCTGACAAAATGCTGAAGTAAATATTTTTTTATCTGCAGTGCCTGTCTCCATCTATCTCAAACATTCTAATGCTTTTATATCCAGCTCCTAACTCCCCACACGCCTGGTTCTATCTTACCTGCAAGAGCACCTTCCCGCTCTCATTAGTTCTCTAGGATCAAGGTGAGAATGGCTTTTTTCCATTTCATGTATTACTAGTGGGACCAATTCCCATTCTCCATGAATATTTTTTAAAATTTTATTTTGATTCATCTCAGGGTTTTTGACTGTATCTCTTTGTAAAGCAGCTTTAGCCGTTGCTTTACTATATTATATATGTGCAGTATCACGTTATACAGGCACAGCTTTGCAGAGTATACTGGTATGAACATTATGCCAGTTCAAGCGAAGTGTAGAAAGCTTACCTCACTTTACATCCATAAGCCTCCTCCATGTGCAATGTAATTGTTGTAAATATTTCCTCTACATACTTTTTATATTTAATATAAATTTTATATATAAATTTGTCATAATTTTTGTTACAAATGTAAAACATAATTTAGAAAACTTAACATTAAAAGGAAACACTATTGTATTTATGGATATTTTTGCCCTATTCATTCTCTTTCTTTTTTCCCGATGTTCTAAGGTCCGTTTTTTTTTTTTATCATTTTTCTTCTTTTTAAGAAAATTCCTTTAGCAATATTTTTAGTGTAGGTTTACTGTTGATAAATTCTCTGAGGTTTCTTTCATCTCAGAATATATTAATTTCCCTTTCACTGCTGAAGAATGTTTGCACTGGGTATAGAATTCTGGCTTGACGTTTCCTTTTCTCAACACTTGAGAAATGGTGTGCCACTTCTTCCTGTCCTTCTGAGATTCTAAAGATCAATCTGCTCTCTTTCAAATTGTTTTTCTCCTGTAGATAAGTGTCAGTTCTTGATGCTTTCATGAATTTTCTGTCTTTAATTTTTGGAAGTTTGATCTTTTGGGTTTGTCCTCATTGGTGTCAGCTCAAGTTCTTGAATCTGTAAGTTTGTACCTTTTGACAAATTTGTAAAGTTTTTAGCCATTATTTCTTCAAGTACTTTTCAGTCTCAACCTCTTTCTTTTTTCTCTCTAGACTCTAATGTATAAATACTAGATTTTGAAAACTTTTGTCCCACAGATTCCCAAGGTTCTGTTTATTGTTTTTTTCAGTCTGTTTTTCTCTCTCTCTTGTTTTTCTTTAGATTCAGTAATTTCTAATGTTCTAAATTCACCTTCCCTTATTCTCTCTTTGTTCCTCTCCGTTCTGCCATTGAACTCATCCACTGAGTTTTTTTTATGTGTTTTTCTATTTTTCAGTTCTAAAATTTCCATACTGTTCCTTCTGGTATGTCTTCTTTATTGACATTTTATATTTTTCGTTTGTTTCAAGTGTGTTTGTAATTGCTTGTTGAAAATATTCTTTTTATGATGGCTGCTTTAAAATCTTTGTCAGATAATTCTAATATATCTGTCATCTCGTTGTTTGTGTCTATTGATTGTCTGTTTTCATTTGAATTGAGATTTTCCTGGTCCTTATATGAAGAGTGATTTGTGATTAAAGTTGCATACTTTCTGTGTTATATTAAGAGACTCTGGGCCTTATTTGAATTTTCTGGTGTAGCAAGCCTTGTCTGACACCATTTCTTCAGGGAAAGAGAGGCATCTCATCACCTACTGCCAGATGGGGGTGGAAGTCCAAGTTCCCCACTGTGCAAATCCATTGACACTCAGGGCATGGAGAGGTGCATTATTATTGGGCAGGAGTTCAGGATCTGCACTAACCTCTGCTGATACTATCCTGGTTGAGAGGTGCAATGGTGCCTTGTTATCACTCCCCACTGAGATTCTGGTGAGGGGGAGGGGCTTTAGCACCACGGGGTGCTGATTCTCCACCAGCCTCCTCTGCTACCACTGAGGCAGAGAAATGGCTGGCACCTTACTACTGTCAGGTGGTGGCAGAAATCCAGGCTCCCACATGATCTCCACTGACCCATGTAAGGTGGGAAGCTTCCTTACTGCTTAGTGGGGATGATTGTCCAGGGTCTTCACCCTGCCTTTTCTGACAACACACTGGTAAAGGGGTTAGGGAACCTCATTACAGCAGATGGTCTCCACTGGCCTTTGTTGGCAGGTATGGGGGTGGGGCAGCAGTTTTTGTGTGGTGTTTGGCTGGAGTAGAGTGGCTAGTTTCTAAAAGTTTTCTGTGTTGCAGGTCTGTCCCTTTCCTGATCCGTTGGCTAGAGACAGCAGACTTCTGTTGGAGCTTTTCTTGTCCTCACCCATGGGCATTTCTGGGTTGCTGGCTTCTCCAATATCCAGTCAGGGATATATGAGGCAAAAAGAAAACCTAGTGAACTGACCACCATGTCATTACTTGGGTCCTGGGGTCCCTAGTCTGACTGCTTTCTTAGCTCCACCTTTCAGGGTCGTTTCATATTCTTTTACAAATAATTTCAAGGCATTTTAGGTATACTTAACAGGAATGGATAGGGAAATTATGCCTTGCCCATTTTTCTGTAATCGGAAGTCCTATAACCAGACTTTGAAAAAGGCAAAAGGCAAAACACCTCAGCAGGGAGCTAAGGAATAAGAATCCCAGTATTCATCTCCATCAAGCTGGTGAAGTCACCAGTATCAGGATGAATAATCTTGAACCATTAAAATTAAAAATGCAGAGAGAAGCAGCATATCCATTGTCCAGGGTTAGGACACATGCTTGCCCCATGATAACAGCAGTGTCACTCCGGCCCTTACAGCTTTCATTGTTGAATTAGGCTTTTGGATTTCCTGCTCTATCAAGACCGCAAACTCTCCCAAAAGGAAAATAGAATGCTTTTGGGAAGCGGGAATGAATTGTGGGAGATGTCACTCACACAATATTCATCAAATGTGAACTTCAGATTATCTATTTTGCTGCTCAGTGTTCATACATTTTTCCCCTTGGATGAACTTTCTGACATACCTCCACCAACCAATATAATAAAACTATTTCACGTACAATAAAAACTATGTAACTTAAGTCTTGCAGGTTATCTATCATCTCCAAATCAAAGAACTCTTTTTGGTGACCATCCCTCCTGCACTAGTTCTGCTGTGTTTTCCCTACAACAGAACAAAAAATAAATACAATTATTCAAAGATAGAAATTGAGAAATAAAAAGATAATTTAACAGAAATATAAAAATGTTTGTAGACGTGTGTAGACACAACACAATAAATGCATAAAGCTAGAGACTATAGAGCTCATTTCCACAACTGGTCACAAGACCATAACTAATATTTCTCTTTCCCTTTCTCTTGTGCTTATGCTGCATTCCCTTGCCATCTTCCAACAACTGGTCTGTGAGAGGATTGTTTAACACGGTGACCAAAACCTTTGCCTTGCTGAGGGAATTGAGACCTTGGCAGTCCTTTTATTAAGGTCTTCCATTAGCTTTTACTACTAGACATAGAAGTACAAGGAAACCCCAAAGGGAACAACTTGGGTTTCATCCATATTCTTTCCTGCCCAAATATATATGAATAACTCAATTTCCCTAGATAGCTAAAGCCATAACATTCTTTTTAACCTATTCACCTAGTTACATGGGGAACCCCAGGTTCCCAATTGAATTAGTATTAAAAACCTCCAATCTCCGAGTCCTGAGAACAGAAAGCAGTGATGTTGTAGAGAGCAAGCAGATATGTAACCTTGTGAAGTGCCAAATCTGTCTCCTTCTGTTAGCTCTAAGAGCCATATATTCTAGCTGTGGGTGAAACACCATCATATTTTGGGTCACTGCTTCACAGCTTTCGTTGCATTGTTCAGGACAGCAGCACAACCTGGCCAGGCTTTGTATCCTAGCTATGTTACTACTGTTTCTTCAGGGT